TTTGAAATTTATGGTATGGTATTAAAGTTCAAATTGACTTTTAAGTATTATTACGATAGTTTGTATGGGCGTATGGAAAAGTGTTGTTTTTGGAATTTTTGAGGCATTTTTTTTTTAATTTTTCTCTGCGTAAGAACCATCCTCGTACTTCGAGGAATATTCTAAAAAAAGAATTATCGAAATCGGTTCAGCTGTTCTCGAGATTTGAGCTTAGCAACACATTCAGCGATTCATTTTTATATTATAGATGGTGAACTTTTTATGACAAATAGCTTAGCGTCGTGAGCACATATAATCATGCATGAATAAGTATATTTTTTTAGAAATACATTCCTATACCAGAAGTGACTCAGGTACAAAAATGCTTGTATTCATCAAACAAATATTTGCCCCTACCGGGTTATGAACCAAACCGTAAACTACGGTGGACATACCACTCTACCAAGGTCTTTACTTTGATTAGCATTAAAATTAATGGTCTGTGACCGCACTTAAGTAAAATTTCATAGGGGAAAACCGGGAGATTTGCCTAGGTGGACGAGTGAAACATCTTTCAAAATTGCAGATATTTAAATTTAGCGCATACAAAACGTCAATTCGTTCATAGGTCACATGCGAGAAACTTTGTTGTGATTGGCGTCGCGCGAGTGAACAATAACGCTAAAAAATACAATTTTGAAAGATGCTTCAATAGGGGTGATGACGGGGTACAATAAACGAAATTCTATTTAGTCCATCAGTTAGATGATCAAAAAATAATGGACACGTATTTTTTTCTTTGGGCAATCAACCAAAAAATTACAAAGTTATAGCGCGTCAAAGTTTGGGAGTAAGGGCTCGTGACGTCACTTTTGAGTGAAAATTGTACTTGTTTAATTGTAAAACGTGACGTCATGCGAATTTTCAAATCAATATATCTCTGCAATGTTTATATTATGTGAAAAAAGAAAATATACGTGTCCAATACTTTTAGATAATCTACCTGATGAACGAAAAAAAAAGTTAGTCATCATCCCTATTCCCCCACCTGGGCAAGTCTCCCAGTTTAAAAGGTCTGCTAGGAGAACATACAGAACTTAGAGATTTTTACTCACAGTGTGAAAATTATAGATATATTGTAACATTTGCAAGTTCGCCTCAAATGTCCACACCCCTGCTGAATCGAACCGTTGTTTAATCGGCACCGATCGCAATAAACAGTATTATGTAAATAGTGACGCTGTACGTTACCGCTATCTTAATGCGACAGACGAAAGGGATGGCTATAGTCTACAAGCTACAACCTTAAAATACAAACAAACACCGGTCAAACCTCATAATAATAATTTTATTTATTTTTTCTTTAACAAAGTTTCTACAGCGTTTTTCTTTGTGGATTTAATACAATAAAATATAAAAACAATCTTAAGGGCAATTACAGAAACTCATTATGTACACATTAGATACTAACGGCGTTACTATTTATCAGTATTTATTACATTTAATTTTAAAAATTGTATATAAATCATATAATTTACTAACATAAATAATTAAACTAAATTAAGATTGGACAAAACAAATCATAACAAAAAGACAAAAAAAAAAGAAAAACAATCACTAAATATCCATACAAAAGGTTTTCAAGAATTTGACATATGATAACCTTATGAAGTGTGGGTGTGTGTGCGTGTATGTATGTATGTATGTGCGTGTCCATGCAGCTGCAATGCTAGGCCTCGTAACGAGATGGCGGGCGCGGCGCCGCGCCCCGGGCACTACATTATTAAAGTACTAAGCTTGTAATTGTAATTGTAGGCTTACATGGCGCTGGGAATAAAATCAAATAAATAAATTAAATTGAAATCAATGTCAAGGAAAATAATTTAAGTCGTAATTGGAAATGCATCAGTGTAGGCATTTTTGATATTACTGAAAGTACGAATTGATAATTATAAATAAAAAAAAAATGTGTGTGTCAGCTCCGACGCACGACTGGAGTTTACTCCTTAAGTTCAATAGTCTAACCAGACGCAAAAAGAGTTTATTTAACTTAAAAAAGATTGATACTGTATGAAAGGGTAAATTAACAAATTAATGAAAATAATATACATATATAAATATATATTTATCCATTTCATATACATTTATTATAACTAATCGACGAAATATTTTACATTAAACTTTTTACAATAGTCAATTTCAGATGTGCATAAATATATCATTAGGAATGTTGATAAATTATGTAATTATTATCATTTTTTTAAGTATTAATTAAATCAACATTGTTTGCATTATTAATTACAGTGACAAGTGGTTTATGTTAACTAAAATAAGACACATGGACGTTGTTAGATACGTGGTTCACGAATCTTGAAAATACCGCATCAATGGTTGTACCATACCTCGTTGTCCCCATTGCTCTATCGGAAACAATATCTAAATTCAGTTCAGATTTTAAAAATTTTATTAATATCAATCCGTCAGATGTTTGTGTGATGAATACGAGCATTTGTACTCCAGTCATATGTATTTCTATATAAATTTATTTATATATGTACAGTATATGTATTCTCTCCGCAACCCTAGTATCCCATAACACAAGTTTTACAGTGCTTACTTTGGGGCTAGGCAAATTGGTTCTGTCTGTTGGAAATATTTATTTATTATTATTATTTACAATCATCCGATGGACGTCAACTGCTGCACATAGACCTCCTCTAGGGATCTCCAAACACGACGATCCTGAGCTTTCCGCATCCAGTGGGTCTCCAAGACTCGCTTGATGTCGTTGGTCCGCCTGGTATGAGGTCTACCGACACTGCGTTTCCCGGTGCGAGGTTGTCATTAAAGCACCTTAGGACTCTCAGCTATAAATTATAATAATAAAAAAAAAACCTTGTCAAAATTGACGTCGTCTTGACCAACTGTTTCTAACACGTTAACAGGCTTATTGGTGTCTAGCCACCCGCCCTCGCTTCCCTTCGGTGTAGAGCTGAAGTGTAGACTACAGTTTTTATTCTCAGGCTTGTATTATACATAATGACATTCATCTATTATTCTTCTTATACCTGCAAGCAAAGTCGCAGCCCGATCGGTTAAAAATTGACAAAGTTTCATACAAACTTTCATTCCCTATTTTATCCCCTTGGGGGTAGAATTGATCAAAATCCTTTCTTAGCGGATGCCTACGTCATAACATCTACCTGCATGACAAATTTCAGCCCGATCCGTCCAGTAGTTTGGGCTGTTTGTGCGTTGAAAGATCACTATGTCAGTCAGTCACCTTTGAGTTATATATATATATATATATATATAGATATTGAAAGTAGGACGGAGAAAATACATTTGCTATTTTAACATTTCTTCTATGTAAATTATTTATTTTCTAATGGTTAGACAGGGTCCAGGACTGTATCGAGAGTTGTGTTTTAAATAGTACAACGGATATTACAGGTAGCAGAGGCGTGCCGCCCTTCGCAGCCTGCCGCCCCGTTTTAAGGTAGGGCAATGGTATTTTAAGGCAGGACATTGCCCCATAGAGCCCATCTCCAGCTAAGGGCCCTGACAGGGTCACCTACACTGTATCCGACTGCGATATTTCACTAGTTGGCACCAAGCACAGGCACATTTTTATGTGTAGATTCTATCCTATCCTTTTAAAAAAAAAAAATCCTGTTTCAAAACACATTCACAAATATATATTTTTCTCTTTCAAATTCATACAAAACTAACTGAAATCCCTGCCGCCGCATGGATCGAACTGTGTTTTTGAGCGTCGTTTCTCGGTACAGTCCTGTATGGCCTATAAAGTTTATTGCAGCTGCATGGACACACACACACACACACACACACACACACACACACACACACCACGCACGCGCGCACACACACACACACATAAACACACCACGCACGCGCGCGCACACACGCACACACACACACACACACACACACATACATACGCGCACACACACCCACTCACACTTCATAAAGTTATCATGTGAACAACTCTTGAAAACCCTTTTATATGGATATTCAGTGCTTGTTTTTCTTCTTTTTTGTCTTTTTGTTATGTTTTTGTCCAATCAAAATTTTATTTTATTTTTTATGTTAATGAATGATATGATTTTTATGCAATTTTTAAAATTAAATTGAATTAAATGTAATAATTACTGACATATAATAACGCCGTTAATATCTAATGTGTACGTAATGAGTTTCTGTAATTGACTTTAAGATTATATCTATATTTTATTGTATTAAATTTCACAAAAACCGCTGTAGAAACTTTGTTAAAGATAAATAAATAAATAAATTACGCACGTAACGTGTTAAATATTTTCTTCGCATCTCACGATCTCCTTTTTTCCTCTAACCCGGAGTACAATTCAAAAAAGACATGAAGAAGCAACTTGCAGCCTGGAAAGGGAAGGATTGCTTGTGTAACAACTGCATCAGTTATTATATGGAGGTTGGACTCCACTGTCAGTAACATCAGTCATTGGTTCGGTCAGACATATATATAAAAAAGAATATTACGAAAATCTGGGGAACAACACATACACTCGAGTAAGACGCTATTTCTCAGTTTCTTCAGTGAAACTACCGCTAGGTGTCACCGCTGTAGTTGATAAATGAGCACAGGTAGGGAAAGGAGACGAAAAAATAGTTGATCCCACCTACATCGCCGTCAAAAGGGTTCCTGCGGGACGCCGGAACATAATCCCGTGTTCTTGTTTCAAGTGACGTTGAGGAATGGCTACACAACAAACATTATAATGATCTCCTGTATTCTCTAAAAAATATTAAGATACATGATGGTTTTGTCAGATGTGTGCGACATTATTTTAGATACTTACGATAATATACCCGATTTACTCGAATGACTGAGCTTTTTGGTTGAAATTGCAATCTCAAAATTACGTAGATTCAAAGATAAATATATAACTTAAATACACGACCAAAAACACTTAAAAAGAGAAAATTATACAAACATTTAAAAAGAAAGTATTTATTTACCTAAAATTTCATTAATTTGTTATTGAACTTTGTTTTTTTTATTATTTTGTTTTATGAATGTGAGATTTAACTTTTCTTAATTAGGTGGTGGTGATGAAAGATGGTGATCTTGGCACATATAATATTATTAAGAACATATAAGCCGTCAAACAGAGCATCAACAAAACACAATTAAGGATACTACAGAAATTGTTCCACGTTTCAATGTATTTCGTGTTTGCAGAATCGGAAGTCAGAACATTCGATTTGTTTTTCCATCGAGGCCAAATTAAATATTTACCACGAGAATCAAACACAAAACTTGTTACAGATCCTATCCAATGAGCAGGTACCGTTGTGCGGTTTCTCAGTTGTTTTAAGCCCAAAGTTAAAATCACTAAAACACTAGTCAGTAACAGAGATAATTTACAGAATATCAATATAGCTGGTATACCAGAACCGGCTTTTGGCACTTTAGCATTGATTATTACCAATGTATAGAAATGGCCAAACACAGAGAAACATGTCAGCCAGAAACGTTTGAAGTTATTCACATCACGAAATACTGTTACAACTGTGAGTACGGCCAACAGGATTGACGGTAAGAAAATGACTTCTCCGAGACCCTCGGCGCTACGTTTAAGTGTGAATGTTAATCTGAGCTTGATTTTATCGGTCACGTTGTAATAATCACGATAGTCGGTGATCATCCACTCTGCCCCAAGATCTGAATCAAATCTTGCAGTCTTGTTAAATCTTGGAACAAGGATTATATTCTTCTTTTCATAAGGAGACTGGCCGTAATTGAAACTGCAGATTTTAGTATCGTAAGGCCAGTTTCGGGTGAAAGAGATGCAAGGGACCTTACTCTCCAACTTCGACATACACATGACTTTACCATTATATTTCAATTTGCAGGACCCATAATGGTAATAAGAGATATCCGTACTGTCTGATTCGTCGTGTATTACTATCAATTGCGGCACCCAATATTCATAGGACCAGAATGGTGTAACGCCGATTTCGTGGTAGTCTTTCGGATTCCAAATGAGTACTTTGTTGGTCCAAGATACTATAGTCATACTTTGCATAGTCATAGATCCTTCATCGTCGTCAACGACGAAATATCTCATGTGGACACGGATGTTGACGATGGTGTTGTTAGAATGTGTTTTTGTAAATCGTTGGCATTTGCTAAGGTCATTGTGTAGCTTCTTCTCCCACTGCCAATACTGTGATCGGTTATCGATGACACAATCTTTGCAAATCATCAGATGAACAACGCTCAAGATGATCAAACATGTGGACCAGACCATGACTGGAGATAAACTGAGCTGTTACCATGTAACACAATATGGGAACGCCCCTTTAGATTGCGACAATAAAATCATGTAATTAAATTTGATTTTATGACCCACTTATTTTAGGATACATTTTTTTACAACAACTGCAAATATTTAACTGTAGATCAGTAAAACCTGTAACTATTTTTTTTTGGAAACTAAATTTTCATTGGATTTTTTAATCTGCTTGACTAATCTTCTATATAAATAAAACGGAATCGGAATTTCTCAATTTATACACCCGTGCGAAGCCAGGCGGGTTGCTTGTTTAACATAAATGCACGGACAAGAACACTATCCACAAAAACTTACAAATAATCAAATAAATAGTAATATAATTTAATTAATTTTGTTATTGAATTTTAAATAGTTCAATGAATGTGAAATATCTTAATCTGGTGAAGTGTAGGTTAAAACACCCATTTTAATGCCAAAGGTGGTGGTCTGGGCACATATAATATTATTAAGAACATATAAGCCGTCAAACAGAGCATCAATAAAACACAATTAAGGATACTACAGAAATTATTCCACGTTTCAATGTATTTCGTGTTTGCAGAATCGGAAGTCAGAAAATTCGATTTGTTTTTCCATCGAGGCCAAATTAAATATTTACCACGAGAATCAAACACAAAACTTGTTACAGATCCTATCCAATTAGCAGGTACCGTTGTGTGGTTTCTCAGTTGTTTTAAGCCCAAAGTTAAAATCACTAAAACACTAGTCAGTAACAGAGAAAATTTACAGAATATCAATATAGCTGGTATACCAGAACCGGCTTTTGGCACTTTAGCATTGATTATTACCAATGTATAGAAATGGCCAAACACAGAGAAACATGTCAGCCAGAAACGTTTGAAGTTATTCACATCACGAAATACTGTTACAACTGTGAGTACGGCCAACAGGATTGACGGTAAGAAAATGACTGCTCCGAGACCCTCGGCGCTACGTTTAAGTGTGAATGTTAATCTGAGCTTGATTTCATCGGTCACGTTGTAATAATCACGATAGTCGGTGATCATCCACTCTGCCCCAAAGTTTGAATCAAATCTTGCAGTCTTGTTAAATCTTGGAACAAGTATTATATTCTTCTTTTCATAAGAAGACTGGCCATAATTGAAACTGCAGATTTTAGTATCGTAAGGCCAGTTCCGGGTAAAAGAGCTGCAGGGGACCTTACTCTCCGACTTCGATATACACATGACTTTACCATTATATTTCAAGTTGCAGGACCCATAATGGTAAAAAGAGATATACGTACTGTCTGATTCGTCGTGTATTACTATCAATTGCGGCACCCAATGTTCATATGACAAGACCGGTGTTACGCTGATTTCGTGGTAGTCTTGCGGATTCCAAATGAGTATTTTGTTGGTCCAAGATATTATAGTCATACTTTGCATAGTCATAGATCCTTCATCGTCGTCAACGACGAAATATCTCATGTGGACACGGATGTTGACGATGGTGTTGTTAGAATGTGTTTTTGTAAATCGTTGGCATTTGTTAAGGTCATTGTGTAGCTTCTTCTCCCACTGCCAATACTGTGATCGGTTATCGATGACACAATCTTTGCAAATCATCAGATGAACAACGCTCAAGATGATCAAACATGTGGACCAGACCATGACTGGAGATAAACTGAGCTGTTACTATGTAACACAATATGGGAACGCCCCTTTAGATTGCGGCAATAAAATCATGTAATTAAATTTGATTTTATGACCCACTTATTTTAGGTTACATTTTTTTACAACAACTGCAAATATTTAACTGTAGACCAGTAAAACCCGTAACTAGTTTTTTTGGAAACTAAATTTTCATTGGATTTTTTAATCTGCTTGACTAATCTTCTATATAAATAAAACGGAATCGGAATTTCTCATTTTATACACCCGTGCGAAGCCAGGCGGGTTGCTTGTTTAACATAAATGCACGGACAAGAACACTAACCACAAAAACTTACAAATAATCAAATAAATAGTAATATAATTTAATTAATTTTGTTATTGAATTTTAAATAGTTCAATGAATGTGAAATATCTTAATCTGATGAAGTGTAGATTAAGACACCCATTTTAATGCCAAAGGTGGTGGTCTGGGTACATATGATATTATCATGAACATATAAGCCATCAAACAAAGCATCAATAAAACACAATTAAGGATACTACAGAAATTATTCCACGTATCAATATCCTTGGTGTTTACAGAATCGGAAATCAGAACATTCGATTTGTTTCTCCATCGAGGCCAAATTAAATATTTAGCGCGAGAGTCAAACACAGAACTCGTTACAGATCCTATCCAATTAGGAGGTATTGTCGTGCGGTTTCTCAATCGTTTTAAGCCCAAAGATAAAATCACTAAAACACTAGTCAGTAACAGAGAAAATCTACAGAAAATCAATATAGCTGGTATACCAGAGCCGGCTTTTGGCACTCTAGCATTGGTTATTAGCAATATATAGAAATGGCAAAGCACAGAGAAACATGTAAACCCGAAACGTTTAAAGTTGTTCACATCACGAAATACTGTTACAACTGTGAGTACTGCCAACAGGGTTGATAGTAAAATCATGACTGCCCCAAGACCCTCGGCGTTACGTTCAAATGTGAATGTTAATCTGAGCTTGATTTTATTGGTCACGTTGAAATAATCTCGATAGTCGGTGATTATCCACTCTGCCCCAAAATCTGAATCAAATCTTGCAGTCTTGTTAAGTCTTGGAACAAGGATTATATTCCTCTTTTCATAAGGAGACTGGCCGTAATTGAAACTGCAGATTTTAGTATCGTAAGGCCAGTTTCGGGTAAAAGAGATACAGGGAACCTCACTCTCCAACTTCGCTAAACACTCGACTTCACCATTATATCTCAATCTGCAAAATCCGTAATAAATGACTTCATCATTTACTGCTTCGGCGTGTATTATCATTAATCGCGGTACCCAATATTCGTGGGTGAAGAAATATGTTTCATCGATGTCGTAGTAGTCTTTCGGATTCCAAATGAGTCTTTTATCGGTCCAAGATATCATAATCAAACTCTTTATATTCATGGAGCCTTCATCATCATCCACAACGAAATATTTCATCACGACGACTATGTTGACGATGGTGTTATTAGAGGGTGCTTCAAAAACTTGTTGACATTTGCTAAGATCTTTGTGCAGCTGCTTCTCCCATTGCCAATACTTTGGCCTGCTGTTAATGACACAATCTATGCAAATCGTTAGAGGAACTACCCCCAAGATGATCAAACATGTGGACCAGAACATGACTGGAGATAAACTGAGCTGTTACCATGTAACACGATATGGGAACGCCTGCCAGATTGTAGCAATGCAATCGTGAAATTAAATTAGATTTTAATGACGCAATTATTTTAGGATATCTTTTTTTACAACAACTTAATTACATACTGCAGTTATCCCGCAACTTCATTCACATGGGACTCAAATGTATAACTTTGATGGTGTTAAATATCTACTTGTGGACCAGTAAGATCTGTAATTAGTTTTTTATTTATAAATCTAAAGAAAACTTTATTAGAAAAAAATGCATGCGGTCCAGGCAGCAGATGGAACCCGAACCTCCACCCTCCGCTATCTGGGCGGATGCACTAACCAACTATGCTAGCGCGACATCAATGGCAGGTGGAGATTGAGGCTTTTTTTTCTAGGAAAATTTTCGTTACATTTATAAATCTAGCAGTTAATACTTAAAATAAATATAATAAACAACTTTTCCATTAGATTTATGAATCTACTTGATTAATCTTCTATATAAATGAAAGAATCTCCTAAACGTTTGTATGCACATAATAATATTTAAAAAGACTGCTTTATGCATTTTCTTTCTTTGTTATATTGTTTATTGTCATAACAAGGTTTCTTTAAGTTTTTTTTAAAGTTAACCGGAAATCACAAGAAAGTTAATCCAGAGTTGGGATTTGATGATTTGTATTAAAATCTTAACACTTCTCAATTTCTTATAAGTTGCAGCCATGCGAAGCCAGGTGGGTCGCTTATTTAACATTAAGCGACGGCCAAGATATCTAACCACAAAAATTATAAAAATAATACAATAAACAGATTTTGTTCCATTTTATTTTATTGAATTTTAAATTTGTTCTATTAGTGGGATAACTTTTCTTAATCTGATAAATTAAAGTTAATAATAACACCCTAAAATGTCAAAGGTGGTGGTCTCGGCACATATAATATTATCATTAACACATATGCTGTCGAACAGATCATCAATAAACCACAATTAAGTATACTACAGAAATTATTCCACGTTTCAATGTCTTTCGTGTTTACAGAATCGAAAGTCAGAACATTCGATTTGTTTTTCCATCGAGGCCAAATTAAATATTTAGCGCGAGAGTCAAACACAGAACTCGTTACAGATCCTATCCAATTAGGAGGTATCGTCGTGCGGTTTCTCAATCGTTTTAAGCCCAAAGATAAAATCACTAAAACACTAGTCAGTAACAGAGAAAATCTACAGAAAATCAATATAGCTGGTATACCAGAACCGGCTTTTGGCACTCTAGCATTGGTTATTAGCAATATATAGAAATGGCAAAGCACAGAGAAACATGTAAACCAGAAACGTTTAAAGTTGTTCACATCACGAAATAATGTTACAACTGTGAGTACTGCCAACAGGGTTGATGGTAAAATCATGACTGCCCCGAGACCCTCGGCGTTACGCTCAAGTGTGAATGTTAATCTGAGCTTGATTTTATCGGTCACGTTGAAATAATCACGATAGTCGGTGATTATCCATTCTGCCCCATATTCTGCTCCAAATATATTTGCAGTCTTGTTAAATTTCGGAACGAGGATTAGATTCTTCTTCTCATAGAATGGGGCTTGGCCGTAATCGAAATTGCAAATGTTGGTATCGTAAGGCCAATTTCGAGTGAAAGAGATGCAGGGAGCCTTATTTTTCAACTTTGGCATACACATGACTTCACCATTATATTTCAAGTTGCAAAATTCGTGATAAAAAACATCATCCCTGTCTGCGGCGTTGTTTATTATCATTATTGGCGGCAACCAATATTCGTAATTCCGATAATATGTTTCGGCGATTCCGTAGTAGTCTTTCGGATTCCAAATGAGTCTTTTATCGGTCCAAGATATCAAAGTTATGCTCTCCATAGTCATGGAGCCCTCATAATCGTCCACAACGAAATATTTCATTACAACCCGTATTTTGATGATGGTGTTGTTAGTGGGTGCTTCAAAATCTTCTTGGCATTTGCTAAGATCTTTGTGTAGCTGCTTTTCCCATTGCCCATACTGTGGTCGGTTGTCAATGACACAATCTTTGCAGATCGTTAGATGAACAATGCCCAATATGATCAAACATGTGGACCAGACCATGATTGGTGATAAACTGGGCTGTTACCATGTAACAGGATATGGGAACGCCCCTATAGATTGCGGTAATGAAATAGTGAATCCAAATTTTATTTTATGACGCAGTTAGACATCTGCAACATCAGAGTCACAGAATTGTTGTGAACTTGAAGCTGCACGATATTTGTGTCAATGTTAATATAATGTGTTAACCTTAATAGCTCGTATTTGTCTAGACTAGACGACATGGTCGTAGCTAGAGATTTTTCCTAGGACGGGTACGCAGTGGCATACTTTAAAGGTAATTGCGGTTTTCACCCCCCCCCCCCCCCCCCTTCTGAATAACTAAATCTCAAATCAAAATTGTAGAAAAGTAACGATTGCCTTTATATCCTAGAGGGAGGTAGCCTACCCCCCCCCCCCCCCCCCTCTAGGATTTTTCCAAGGGGGGCAGCGCTTTAGTTAAACTTACATTCGTTTTTAAATTTATTTTTCAAATTGTATGAACCCCCTAGCTATGCCCAGTGGACTGGAAACATCGTTGGTAACAATAAATTTAAAGATTTTTTAATTAATTTGAAGAAATTTCGTGAAAATCTCACGGTCCGCATCAAGATGGACGGAACTATTGTGGCGAAGTACGTTTTTAATATATATATTGATTTTATCAACACCAAGGTTTAATTTAATAAAAATGGGCGTATGCTTATCGCAATACAGTTTAGAACAAACTATGGACTGGCTTGTTTGTCCGCTTATATTAAGTTTTATTCATTTTGCGCACAGCTCCTGCGTTATAGATAATACATCTGATGATCGGAGATGGCTCAAGAAACTTCACAAACATCTCAAAAATGATTATAACAATATCATGCAACCGAATCGCGCAAGAACAAAGGTAAATTTTGGCTTTTTTTTAAGATATTATAATTTTGACGATGAATCTCATACATTTACTGTAAACGGTTGGTTGCATCTAACATGGAGTGACGATAGATTAACATGGAATCCTGAAGACTTCAACGGCATAAATAAGACGAATTATTGGAGTTATGTTTTCTGGGCACCCATTTTGGAATTGAATAATCGAATAGAAAATGAGATATATGAGACTTTTTATGGAATGTGTTCATTGGAAAGTACCGGAAGTGTAACATGTAATCCCAGAGTCAATGAAGAAGTTAGATGTGTGTCTAGCGTGCAGAATTGGCCATACGACACTAAAAAATGCAAACTCGATTACGGCATTTCTTCTTTGCAGAATAATGTTGGATTGATGTTGTTCCTCAAACCGATTTTAGCGCACACCACCAAAACTGAATGGATTCTATCTCAACACAGTGTCATCAGGAACGTAAGCAAGAAAATCCAAATACGATTTCTGTTTAATTTAAAGAGAAACTCGTCGGTTTTAGAAGTTTTCGTGGTGTTTCCGTCAATAATTCTAATGCTGTTAACACTCGCAACAATTTTACTGGAAGCAAGTTTTAAAAGATTTTTGCTAACAAGCTTTTTCATGGTATCCCATTTTTCCTTTCTTTCTGAAATAAACAATGACTTGCCTAAATACGGGGATGATGTCCCAACAATATTATTATTCTACCGTTCATCTTTGATATTGAACAGTATTTTAGTTGTTATTTCCATAATTTTGATACGACTGAAGGAAAGGAAAGCAGCTCCACCTGTTTGGGTGTGTTTTGTTAATAATCTGATCTTCAATACGTTTTTGGGTTGTTTGGTTTGGCGGCGTTGGCAAGACAGCCAAGATATGATCACAAAGGGAAGTGATAATATAGAAGCATGGAGAAAAATTGCAAATATCTTCAGTATCTTTTGTTTTATTGTTTATGTGATTTTATACACTGTTTTGACAATAGTTTATATTCCACGAAATATCTAAAAGAGCTTATTTAACCGATTTATTCAATATAAGAAAGGTACATGCAGAGTTTTTATGGAAATGTGCTATTTGAGAAGTAGAAGACCGAAGCCAAATTTAATACAAAAAGGATGTTGTGTTTCTTCAGTTAATAAAGTTGGCAGAACTCGTTATGAAAGAAGCAGAGTGTCCTGAAAGAAGAATGGTGCTCCCTCCGCTATTTAATGAGGACACTATGTTCTACACTTAACTGGACTAGAGTGATTTGATAGGACTTTGTATAAATAAAGTATTTCTAACTAAATTTACCACCGCAATTATTTTCTCTCGCAATTAATAATATCAGTGGCGTGCTATTTGCACTGCCTGCCTGATTTGTGTTGTTCTTCTTGTTTTATGTATTGCCTTGATACTTTGCCTGCTACACTAGGCTATACTGCAAGAGATACGCCGTAAGCAGCAAATATGCTTGAACTCATAGTCGTAGAGAATAGTTAATCTGAAAAGAGAGGAAATGATCGTGCGGCCTATACTTTACGAACTAATTTGCGGTCGCACAATTATTCCGTCTCCCTCACACTTTTCTGTCCGTTTTTAATTCGTCATTTCGGTCGTTCAGTCTATCCTCTGTGGATATTATTGTAGTGTTGCCTACACATGCTTGTTGTTTGCTGCAAACAACAATCTCTTGCCAAATACCGACCACAATGACCCAACACAAATGTGCATCGCCACCCCAGGGTTGGAGAGCATGCTAGTCAGGGGGGGCAAACAACAACCTTTGTTTTGTGCAATAATCCGTCACCGACCGACGTCGTTCACTGGCGAACACAAACAGCAAACAACGCAAATAGGCAAACACCCATCTACAAGCCTGTGCACCATAACCACAACCGTCCACTTTACTTACTCTCTCTCATTTATCATCAGTTACATAATGTTAAGAGGTTGGTACATCATTGAATTCACGGAGCGGCTAATTACCGCACCCGTCGCGGCCGCTGAACTGTTTTATTTAAAAACTCACGTCACCGCAGTTTTTTGCGGTCCCGCAGCCGAAGCTGCCACGAACGCTCATTTAAAAAGCCAGTCGCAGATGCCCCTTCAACCGGGCACTCGGCGGGCATGAATTGCTGTGAAATTGACTTTTGTGTCAAAGAGATCACAAAATAGAGAGTACAGATAAATACATCAGGTGGGGTGGAGTCATTTGTCAGACCTATCTATAAAAAAAAAACAGAAGGTAATCTCATGTATTTGTGTATCTATGCTCGACGATCGCGCTAGGATTGTCAACATTGGCTTAAGCAGAAAAAACTATCGCAGTAGTGGTACTCTCATGTAGTTGTTCGATTTATTGTCGTTAAGGAACCAGAGAACGGAAATACAAACTGACAATAACTAAATTATTTAAAGTTTAATATTAAATTGCTATTATAACAAATTAAATAAATTAAAATTCAACGTTTACTGTTTAATTTAAACAACCGTCTTCCGAGCAGATATAATTACTTGTTTTTGTTGCTCCAGTTTTGCACAAAAAAGTTCACAGACGCGTTTTTTGAGTGTGTGTGCTGTTGGTCGCAGATGACCTTTACAGCGTCACCAGGTTTGGGGACGGCTAGATCCTTCGGGGACCTCAAGCCGAGAATTGGCGAGTGCCTCTAGAGGTATGCCAGGCGGATGGCATGTCGTCACGCGGGGAGTCTCCTCTTCGTCTTGAGCCTCTAGACCACTCGAACCTGAGGGGTCACAGACGCGTGTCTCAAGCGGATGTAACTCGCGGTCGCAGTGGTCTCAACTGGTTCGAGATGTCCACGTCTGCGTTGCTCGAACGCATTTTGTATATAGATCACTTTCTGTACTTTCTATTTTTGGGGTTTACCTGCAACTTCATATTTGTGGTCCCGCAGCCGCGGCGTGAGTTCTTAGCTTTAGAGAGTTTTATTTCTTAAAAATTGCAATTTTATATTTATACCTTAAATATACGGAGAAAAGTCCGCTCACCCAGTCCCCGTAGGAGGAGCACCGTAATTTACATTATATCACTTTTTTATCGCGTCCAACTGTCAAACTTCATAGTAATTTGACAATTGAGCGTGATAAAAATGCGTTATATATCATATCGCCGTGCTCATGCTAGGGGGGCAGGATATCTATAACTATTTGATTGTAATATAGGTATGTTTTTGAAGTTATACTTCTTTAGGCGCGTTATGAAAAAATGATGAGAGTGAAATTTTTAGATGCGCGCGCATCACTGTAACACAATAGTAACACCATGAAGTTGGCCGCGGGCGCGTTATGAATGTTAGTGTCTAATAACCATTATTAGACATCTGTTCGAAAGGTACTTTGAACGATCCACGGAGCTCCATAAGATGATCGCGTTGTCAAAAACTATGTTGGCACGCTCGTCGCCTCTGATCACTGTTTTCATATTTATAATATTTATCCACATGTTTCTAGTTTCTATATAGACACAACGTGTTTTAGTTACTTACAAGTGCTAATTACATATGGACTAATAACTTAAATTCAGTACTGATTTTAATTGAATATTTTGAATATTTATTTAATTTTTCAAATTAAAACTGAACTTAATTGACTGTGTTAACTATCCTTTTCCAGTCCTTTTATTATTTTATTGTAATTATTAATTATTTGCATGCAATTAAAAAATATTTTTAATGATGCTAAAGAAGTATAACTTCTCACGCGCGTACATAAGTTACACGCATCCATTTTTTTTAATTAAGTAATCCATCTTTTTGCATGTCATCATCATCAGCCTATTAAGGTCCCCACTGCTGGAGCTATTCGCTATGGATGGCATAGGGCGATTGTGCCGTGACCCACCACGAGGGCCCAGTGAGGGTTGGTGGGTGCTAACGACTGCAGATGCAGCCGGGACCAACGGCTTAAAGTGCCTTGCGGAACACGGAGGAATATGAGATTGTAAATTTTTGACCACCCATCCAATGACCGACCGTTGCGAAAGTTGCTTAACTTTCATTAGCCTAATGCGCTAACCACTTGCGCCTTCGAGCTCTTCCCTTTGTACTAAAAAAAAATACATTTAATTGTTATATTTAAAAATTTCAAGCATTTAACTGCCTAGATGTTTAAATCTAAAGAAAAGCTTTGCAGCCTAAGAAGTACTAGAGAAAATTCGACGCGGCCATCTAGACAGCGGTAGCATAATGGTCAGTGCATTCGCCCGGATAGCGAAGGGTGCCGATTCGAGTCCCGTCTGCTGCCTGGTCCGCGTGGAATTTTAAGAGCAAACTTTTCTTTAGATTTAAATTTAAAATTTATTATTTAAATCAATGCAATCCTACAAGTTTACTCGACAACAATGGTCAATATGCAAATAGCCAAGTAGCTTTATGGCAGATTTAATCTCTCGGCCGATCCTTAACTGACAAACATTGACTCATCCGTGTTTGCCTCAATTCCAGTCTAGACCGAAACCCAGGCAGCGTTATGGATATGTTTCCAGTCAATAATTCAGGCACGGTCGCTTCCGCTGCAAAATGGCGGAAATCGGAAATAGACACAATATCCGCTCGTAAAATTTTTAGCCCGCTTTGACTGTTTGTCTGTTGGTTTCGGATTTCTTTCTTTTTTTCTTTTTTCTTTTCGGAGGAGCTCGATGGCGCAGAGGAGCTCGATGGCGCAAGTGGTTAGCGCGTTCGGCTGCGATTGAAGTTAAGCAACTTTCGCAGTGGTCGGTCATTGGATGGGTAACCAAAAATTTAATAACATGAGCTCCTCCGTGCTTCGGAAGGCACGTTAAGCCGTTGGTCCCGGCTGCATCTGCAGTCGTTAGCACCCACCAATCCGCACTGGGCCCGCGTGGTGGGTCATGGCCCAATCTCCCTATTCCATCCATAGAGAAGGCCTGTGCCCCAGCAGTGGGGACATTAATAGGCTGATGATGATGATGATTCGGATTTCAAACATTCTGTCTCAGGTTAACCATGTGGTAAAATTTTTTAACTAACAGCATTTAAGTAGAGTAATCAAAAACATTCTCAAAAAAGAAATTACTTAATTTATTAAGACCAGGATGCATCAAAGACCATAAATCAAAATTAAAAGCATTCTTAGCGTGAGTTCAACAAACTTGACGACAATTAAGAAAGAAACCTCTGGGATGGTTCTGTCAAGTACTTGCTCGATGCTTTGGATAGGTTACAGCGGCGCGCGATCCGCATCATAGGCGATGAGGAGGTGACTAAACACCTCGAGCCTCTTCAATTACGCCATGACATGGTGTCATTAAGCGCGTTCTATCGTCTGTACCACGGCGAGTGTTCTGAAGAGTTATTCTTTCTTATTCCACCTTCCCCTTTCATTCAGAGGACCACGCGCGCTGGCCTACGTTACCACCGACTAACTGTGGCCACAATTCCAACGCGTGCAAAGAAGTTTGGTGTCTCATTTCTTTGTCGCACTATCCGTAAATGAAATCTGCCTGCTCACGTGTTCCCTCCCTCTTACAACCTGGGATCCGTTCAAAGAGGCGTGAAGAAGCAATATGCAGGCCAGCAGGGTGAGGATGGCTGGTGTGGTTGGTAGAACTGCCGTGTCAGTTACATTCGCTTTGGACTTCACCGTCACTTAGCATAAGGTGAGATGGAGTCATTTGTCGGACCTATCTAAAAAAAAACAAAGAAAAAGATTTTTATTAGCTGCATCGGGTAGCTCCCTGAATATTGCCGCGAGAGCCATTAATAGCTTGAAGGTACTTTGAAAAACCTATCCCGCGTGACTGAGGTGAGGATGCTTACCAGTTTCTCGCTGAACGTCCTCCTGTTTTAGCAGGTCATTCAGCCGCCTGCTTCCCTCCACCCAATTCCTAAACTTGCCTGCCTGAAGTTGCTGGCACAATACTTGAGCACTTGACCTGTAATAAAACCCAACTCAGAAAATGTTCCTGGCGTAATGCGAAGTCTGCATCGAAACCGATGGAATTCCACTTACCTCAAAAACTTTTTGACAAACTTTGTGCCTCAGACTTTAAAATTCTTTGTTTGTATTCTGAACAAATATTAATTTGAAAATCTGATTCAAATATTAAAAAGAAAACAAAAAGATATTGCGGCTGCTGCAAAAACCAGCCAATGATGTTAAAATTAATCCTGTAACATCCTGAAACTTACTATGCGCCTTGGTGCTATTCACACAATGTTTTAGCTTCATCCTATCCCTGTTTCAATGAAGACAATCGATCAGAGTAGAATAATGTGTTTATACTGTAATTGTTGTGTGTCGGGAACAGTTTCGAGTGAATAGTGAGAATGTGAACAGTGGTACGGGTATCTAACGCAATAAAAGACTTCGTCGGTGGGTAGACTGATATGTCTGCCAATAACAGCCTACCAATAACTTCAGTTACTCCGTGAGCATGGCGCTTGCAACAGTGCCGAAATATCGGAAACTCGCTATAAACAAAGTACATGGTAACAATCCCGTAAATAACTTATATCACTATAATGTTAGTGACCATGAAAGTTTAAAACAATACATTTATCTAATGACATTACAATTTAGATTTTATTACTCTCATAACTCATCCAAGGATATAAATCGAGGAGTAGATTGTTGGGATAATTTACTTTATTATGTCTATTTCATGCATGATAATTAATGTCTAAATAGTCGTATATCAAATATTAAATAGTCACTGCACTTCCGGCAAGATAATTCTGAATTTAGCATTTCCTGTGAAAATAATTAAATAGTTTACCTGATATTTTTTTATATAATAATATATGTAAAATCTAAAATAATGGTAAATAAAATATTGTACTTTTAAATGTTAATGATTTGTACTGATATTCTTTGTTTGTAACTTATATTCTTTCTCATTCAGTGTTCATCGGTCGTGTAGTGAATAGCTTGGAAACTGTTAATATTAAGAGTAAAATTGTGTACCGAAGATTAAGAGTGAAATAAAGTGTCTAAATGCAGTTGGTTGTTTGAAATTTATACTGACGACAATAAGATGTAAAAAAATGCTTGTTAGCATGATGGCGCCTGCGCCATGCGGTTAGCGCATTCGGCGTGTGTTCGTAAAAGTTAAACTTATTATCTCGAGCGAGTTCTCCGTGCTTCTGAAAACGCGTTAAACCGTTGGTCCCGACTGCATCTGCAGTCGTTAACACCCACCAATCCGCACCGGATCCGCGTGGTGAATCATGGCCCGATCCCCCTATTCCATTCATAGGGAAGGCTTGTGCCCCATCAGTGGGGACATTAATAGGCTGATGATGACATGATCACCCATCTTATGAATGACCTTCAAGAAACTTACAGCATATCGAGTTCATATTACTAGAATACTTAATCTGCAATCTAGTTAATGGTCTTTGATCAAAGGTGAATCCCAGTCTTGACAGATCCATTAAGACGTGCAAATCCATGTTGTCTAATATACCTATAGGATGGCTAAGTGCTTTTCCCTGCACGGTAGTGTAGACAGTTCCGTCCATTCGAAATTCGCAATGACAGACAGCCATCAAATATTCATATTTCACATTTAACTTCGCCGTACGTACGAAGAGAATAATTCTAGCCGAACCTTCAGTACCATTAAGCAGTACTATTTATTGATGGTAAAAATGGCACTGATTTTTTTTTTATTTATTTTATTCTTCTTTACCCAAATACAGTAAATGGCGGACTTAATGCCATAGGCATTCTCTACCAGTGAGGGTGTGAGAGACGAATGTTATGGCGATAGAGTGCGAGCTACTATAGTTAGAAAAACATATATATTCCTACTTAACTTAACTATACTATAATAAACAATAAATAAATATTATATAATAATCAAATATCATCCACACATAATTATATACATATAATAAACTAGTTAGAAATAACTTATATTATTTTTGCATAATTAAGGTTTATATCAGGGGGCCAATCGCCTAACGGAAATGCTTTGGGAAACGCTAACGCTTACGATTTTATTTTGTTATTTCTAGCCGCCTGAGGTTTTTAAATGCCTCGCGCTCTTTCTTTTTCTTTTGCATTGGTAATAACAATATTAAAAAAAATGAGCGTGAGGTATTCGAAAACCTCAGGCGGCTAGAAATAACAATATAAAATCGTAAGCGTTAGCGTTTCCCAAAGCATTTCCGTTAGGCGATTGGCCCCCAGGTTGCAAATTATCAAGATAATTATTTTCACGGATAAAATTATCCGTAACTTATTCACTTCTTGTATTTCATTTTCTATAGTTTTTAATAACATAAAGAGGGTTTTTAAATGATAAGAATAATTGAACTCATTGTTTATTGACGACCTCCGTGGCCGAGTGGTTGGTAAGCCTGGTTTCATGGTGTCGCCTACTTGAAAGGTCCCAGATTCGAATCCCGGTTGGGGCAGATGTTTGAGTGATGAATACGAGCATGAGTGTAGTCATGGATGTGTCCTAAGTATTTCTATATAAACATACTTAGATATGTACAGTATATGTATTCTATCCGTTACCCTAGTGTCCATCTAGTAGGGGTGTCCACTCTGAAAAAACATCGATGTTTTTTCTGATTCGATACAACGCAACTATACATCGATATCTTACGATGTATCGGATGAAAACATCGATGTTTTTTTAAGCATCGAGTACTTTTTCTAGAATTTTATTACAAAACTCAACTTATGTGGACTTACTTTTTTTACTGAGGTCAAACCAAAGAGGATATTATAATGACTACGTGGTCAAACTCTATTACCAATTCGATGTTTTTTTTTAAACATCGATGCATCGAGTATATTGAAAGCTTTTCAAAACATCGGATCGATTCGATGTTTTTCATTGCAAACATCGACGTTTTCGATGTATCGATGTATATCGAATATCCCTAAGTATTGGTGTATTTAAAAAAAATTGTCTTACTGACCTTTGATTCTGAGGAGCAGCTGGCGCAGTGGTGTTATCCATTCAGTCTATTCAGATCAGTTGTTAAGTTATAATGCGATTCAAATAAGAATAGGAAAGCTAATGACCTCCATCTGTCAAATGTCGTAAGAAAAGTACGGTTTGCAAAAAATCTCGGAACACTTTTTTAGCACCCAGCTAATTCTAGATTAAAAACCAATCATTTTTAAAGAAACAATAACAAAAATTGATAATTAATATTGGTTGATATTTTTTTTTTCATTTATTGCGCTTTGGCTATTGATGGTTGATAACCTAAATCGTCAATCAAATGTCACTTTATGCTGCGTTCAGAAACTCAATTTAAAACTTTCGTTTACATATAGGATGCATGTTCGTATGTGACCTGCATGATTATTCAAAACTACTCCGGCGGTAATGTAGAGATGAGCGGAATTGAAGATCTAGATGCTGATTAATGTTTTTTTTCTCAATCTTAGTAAAATTAATTTTATTAAAAATCTGATATTTTTCTAACTTAATCTTGTAAATAAGTTTTATTAAATAGATTTTTATTATTACTCTACCTACTTGATTTGAATTGATAGCAATGACGTCAAAATATGGCGCCCAGTCGGTCCTATTCTTAGTTGAATCGCATTATACTTCCTTCGATAGTGCAAACTATGCGAATTTGGTGATCGCCATTTAAAGTTATCCTTGCGAAATTGTTTGAGAGGTATGCCAAAAAGTTCTCGGCCAGGTTTGAAAGAAAAAAAAATCGGAACAGGATGAAACCCATACCGATACCAAAATGGAATAAAAAAAAGACATTGAAAAATTACGTGCGATTTGAGGTGGGGAAGGGGAAAACAGTTTATTAAGAATTTCCTAGCGAACAAAAAATGCCAAATTTTAGGTAATCGAACGACCTACAAGTATTACAATTTTTTCACATAACATACTGCGGCAAATCAAAATAACCAATTTTTGGGTATTTATCATTACATACAATAAGATCGTAAGTGAGATTGCACCTTACAGAATACCAATGCTGTTCTCGTTCGCCATGACTCCTGACGTAGAGTATAAGTAATCATTCAAATTCTAATCCATGCTCGATTTTATTAATTTTTATTTATTTATTTTTTTATATAGCCAAGTAGGCAAATGACGCTACCCCACCTGATGTTAAGTCTTGTTAAATTCCAATCGCGAAGATAGCCCCGACCTGTAAAAATGCTTCTTCACGCTTCTCTTAAAGGACCCCAGATTGTAAGGAGGGAATACGCGCGCAGGCAAAGAATTCCACTTACGAATAGTACGAAAAGAAATGAGTCACCAAATTTCTTTGTTCGTGTAGCAATAGTAGCCACAGTAAGTCGGTGGCAACGTAAGCCAACGCGCGTGGTCCTTTGAAGAAAAGGTGATGGAGGGATAAGGGAGAATGACTTCTCAGAACACTCGCCGTAGTACAGTCGGTAGAATACGCTTAATGATGCTGTCATAGATTCTATGGAGTAACCGTTTCGTATAGAATTATGATCTCCTTGGTAACAAATAAATCAGTTGCAAACTA